CACCCTGGACAGGTCGCCAGTCTGTCGCAGGGCCAACACACAGGGACAGACAACCATTCACACTCACATTCACACCTAGTGGCAATTTTATCCAATTAACCTATCCCCACAAGCTGCATGTCTTTGGACGGCCGGAGGAAGCCGGAGAAACACGGGGAGAACATGCAAACTCCACACAGAAAGAACTCAGGACCTTCTTGCTGTGCGGCAACAGTGCTAACCACCGTGCCACTGTGCAACGACAGTGTTGCAATATTTCTGTGATCCATTGAACATGTTTAAAAATTAATCCTTGTATAGTTAATCTACAGACAAGCTCAACTCCTCAGCATAGTCAAAAAGTACACTGTGGGTGTTTCCACTGTGACCTCCAGACTGCTCAGAGGACAGGCCTAGTTCCTGTTCTGAGCTGTCACATGTGGCACCCGGTGAGGTCTTTTTGCCCATCTACTTCAAGGTTTGATGTGTTGCATGTTGCATACGGTGACTGTAATGAGTTATTTGAATCATTTTGTCTTCCAATCAGATCAAAGTAGGCTGGATATTCCCCTTTAACCTCGGGCATCAACAAGATAGCTGCATGCTCACTGGATGTTGGTGGTGTAGAATATTATATTTTTTTATTTGTTTATTTTTATATATAACTTATATTGGTAATTGAAGTTAAACATAGACGGCTAGGGACATGGCATTTTAGGCTACATGTGCTTGAAAAAAAAAAGTTTAAAAATCTGTGAATATTGTAAAAAAATTAAATAATGGCCAGTTTCTGTCATGGTGGAACATCATGACAGAAACATCACTCGTGTACCTAATAAAGCGGTCGTGTACATTCAAAATATCTTTAAACGTCACAAATCTGAAAGTTAATCAACAAGTTTCTATGTGGGGGCGGGTTTTTTGTGCCTCCTCTTCAACTTTAAGCCTCGAAAGTGCGAATCACAACCTCAGCCTTTAGAAACAATCCCAGCTAACGTTTCCGTCGTCGTGTAGACCCCCGACTTCCGATCACTTCCGCGATTTACCGAACTGTACGCTTCACTTTTTTTTCCTGAGTGGAGAAAAATGGCTTTTGAGTTGTCCGAAGATCAGTTAAAAACAGCGGAAAACGAGCTGAAGAAATATTTACCCATGTCGCAGCAGGTATGCTCGGTTAAATCTGTTATATGTTTATTTTGACAAGGAGCTGAATGTACTGCAAATAACCAACTACTGAATTAATTTAAGGTTTACGGTTTCCTGGTGCTCAGAAACAGAGTCAGATCCGACCCTGTACGCCGGGTTTTAGTGGACAAGTGGCCACAGTTCCGCGTCATTATGTGCAAACCACAGGTTGAACAGGTACTGTCTGTGCAGTTGGGGCTTGCGTGCACACAATACATTGTTTAAATGCCAATACAGATCACGTGTCTATTTTTCTTCCAGAAGAGTGACCTCTTCAAAGATACACTGCTTTTTGCAACTGATGCTGCTGTTCTAGAAGAAATCCTCAGCAAGTCATCTGTTTTTGACTGGAGCAAGTACTTTTGTGTTGGTAATGGCAACAAGCTCTCTTATTGTTTGCATTGTTACTGAATCAGTTCAAACTGTTTATTCGCTGGCTCCCACACTGCAGCCCTGCATATGGCCACTGAAGTCTATTACTGCAAGTGATTTTCAATGAAATAATTAGACCAGCCAATGAAAAGTCATCCTAATGCCTAGTGTT